TTTATGAAGTTTCGAAATTTGAAGTGTGTTGGCTGAATTTTATTGCCAGTGGATAATTGATTGTAAATTCTTACACCTGTTGAGAGTGGTCCATTTGATGTTACTTGGAGATTGCTATGATTTGGATAGATTAGCTGATTGTTTCTGGTTTTGTAGACATGCATGTCCGAATGCCTGGGAAGAGTGGCGTTCACGTTCAGTTTATTGCGGATCATACCTAACATATGCCGCTCCTTTTGAAAGCCATTAGGGCTTCCAACCATAACACTTAAATCAGTTTTCATTGTCAGGAATAGGCAATACACACAACTTTAATGCTGGGCGTTGATAAACTTCGTTTGCAGTTTTTATCATAACAGTTCGTATAACTCCATCAGAACCAGGAAACAGCTTGATTACTCTACCCATACGCCACTTCAGCGGTGGAAGGCCATCCTATTTCACAAGTACAAGAGCACCTATTTTGAGCAACTGCTGATGATTTTCTCTCCACTTGGTTCTTATTTGTAGGTCAGACACGTACTCCTTTGCCCATCGTGCCCAGAAGAAATGTTGTAGCATACTTTGGATATGTTGATAAGGACTTAGCCCCTAACAGCAGTTGACAACCAATCCTGGTCAGGAACTACCGTGTCTTTCACCGACGAGGAAGTGTGCCGGGGTCGAAGTTTTTGGATCATTTGGGTAAGAAGAAAGGGCATAAAGGTGTCTGCTATTTAGACAGGATTCGATTTGTACCACTCTTGTACCAACCACTCTTGGATAACTCCTCGAAAGTTAAAGAAGTGTCACCAACGACTCTTTCACTATGATATTTTACCGATTTCATACCTGACAACCAAGAAAATCATGTTAGGAGTAGTTCTTTATTTTGCAGTGAAGAAGTTACTCTTTCAGAAAGTTACTACAGTCACGAGGAATGTTTGCATGACACTTTCTCCTGACTTAGTGAAAGTAGATGATAAGCTTCTCCTCGAATTGTAACTTGAGCATATATATCAATTATGTATTTGCGATGTTGTGTTTTATTTATTTTTTTTATTTGTCAGCATTTTATCACGATGTAACATGTACCAAATGTACCAAAGTGTAAAAAGAATAAATTATGAATATTACTGGAGTTTCATCCCAACACCAAACCGTTATTTTTAACACCTCAACACGTGTTTCGACCACCAAGTGATCATCTTCAAGAGGAAGATTAAACTAAATATACATACAATGTTGTCCTTATGTATGTATGCTCTTGTAGGTATATTTAGTTATCTCTTCCTCCTGAAGATAACTTGGTGATCGAAACATATGTCATGGTGTTAAAAATAATGGTTTAGTGTTAGGATAAAACTCCAGTAATATTCATTACTACACCAAAGGTTCCAAACAGTGCATCACAAGTGAATAAATTATGTTCTGACCGATAAGTCATGAGAGAAATCACCACAAGATACATAAAAATGAATTTTTTTTAAACAGTCATGACACTATTTGAAATAGTATAGCACTGAGATTTGTGGCTTTGAAATTTCATGAAAACACATTTGGGTTTTTGAATCGATTAAATTCCCTTTCAATTCTGGGTGGAACAAGAATTGCTTGCAAATTGTAAAGCCCTTCAGATGGCTCTTTCTATAGGAGACCATCATGACAATGAGGCAAGGGATCTCTGAAGCGGAAGGAACAGAAGATTGAAGTAGAAGGAACAGAAGAGACAGGATTGAGAGGAATTGTAAAAGCATTAAAATGCATTTTGGAAAACAATTTAAGTTGAATATACCCTAACCTACTTATATCACTTCGAATAGTTGCAACAATTCCGGTTCTGAAAGAAGTATCTTCAAAACATCTGAGAAATACAATGACTCAAGACAGACTCTCAGCGCTTGCAGTATTATCTATAGAAAACAAACCGTAATCATGCTTGAATTATAAAGATTTTATAGAAGATTTCAGCTAAAAAATGAGCACCAAAATTAATTTTCAATATTCTTTTTTTCTGTTAGCTATTGTTGCAATACTGTTTTATTTATTTTGTAGAGACATTGTTGATTAAACACAGTAAATACTTGCTCAAATCATTTGTATTGGATTATTTTCCCTGTGCCATTATTCAATTACAAAATAAACCTTCATGTTTCAAAGCCTACAAAACTCACAGACCTTAATGTATTTATAACATAAGTAAGACGAAAAACACTGTAAAAAAATAAATGCTTGAATAGGGCCTTGCTAATCTTATTCCACACAGGGCTCCGCAACATTTAGCACTGTCACTGTATGGCAATTTTGGCTTACTGTACGACTAGTATTCAATATGCGCCGCTTTCTGGCGCATATTTCTAGGTAAGATTGTTTGATCTAGGTTATTCTGTGAGTAAGAGGCTTGCCGCGTATACAAAATAGGTAATCTGCGCGAGATTTTAAATATCTTATAGAATAACCTAGATCAACCAATTAATAAAATTATGAGTGCATTTTTGTGACAGCTTCTCTTCAAACATGTTTTTTTATATTGGCTGATACTTGATGAAAATCTATGACTAACGTATTCAAAAAACACTTTATTGTGAGATTCTCACTAAACAGTTTTACAAAAACGCAACACATATTTCGCCATATAATGGCTTCTTTGGGCGTGTCTTTACACGACCGGTTTTGGTTTATTAGACCATTTTCAAGTAACTTATACACTAAATCACAAGTACAGTATACGCCACGGCCGATGGCGAGCGATCGCGCATGTATAGACTCTCTCAACTACATTACTATTGGATTATGATAAACCCCTTGGTGGCTAGTGTCGTACCTATAATTAGTTTTAATTAGGGTAGCAAATGGAACATGACTTCTTTGTAATTTTTGTTTACATTTTATTTAGTATTATAGGTAGTAGTACAGTTCATTAAAATTTTATATAATGATATAACAAACTCATGCTCCACCAGTTTCCGACGTTATGTCCGTGTTCAAGCAGAACCTCATCAAATCTGTATCTAATATGATGCTTTTCATTTACCTTGATCCACTCGTATAAGTAGAGTTTGAGCATGTTAGAGGTGAACATAATGCTTTTTTCATGCAGCCACTTCACCTAGAATTTTTGTTGGGAGCTGGATTAATTTGAATATCACTTTATGGAACATTATCGGTCACGACTACCGAACTCGCAGATAAATTTGGGATTAATTTTTCTTGTAACCATTTACTATAATTTTCAGAATTATTATTTTCATAATAAATATAAGCCGACAATTAGGTATAAAACCCATGTCACCTCTTTGGTTGATTCATCCGTCCAGTTCTTGGAAGATATAGGTCCACTATGAAGTTATGTTTCATCAAGAAACACAATTGGTCGCTATTCGCTATGAAAATAATTGATTTTTCGTAAATACTTTTCCACAATGCTCTAATGTCCATTTTCTCTATTAACATTTTTCTATTATTTTCAGTCCTCCGTTTGACACCTATTTTCTTCGAAATTCTACGAAGAGATGTTTCATAAACCACAATTCCTAAAACGTCATTAATTTTGTGTTGGAATATTTTTACTGTAATAGGATATCCTTCCGTCTTATGAAAGTCTTAAATGATCCGTTTAATTTTGGGATACTCATACTCGGGATTATCAGTAACTGGTGCTCGTCTAGGTCGCTTGATTCTTGGGGTGGAAAATTTAACTTCTCCGTTATGTGCAGAAATTAGTTTCTCCCCTTCTTAACCACTTTTTCAATGGTTCTTATGGAAATACCTAATACAAAATAAAGATTTGTGTTGAAATAGTTATTTTCAAAATTTATTTTTTGTTACCTGTAGCGGAGGATGTTTTATTTTTCACATTTGATTACCTATCCGACTCACATTTATCACTTTGAAAATAAATGAACACTTTAAAAATTATTTCACGTGCCTGACTCTTGATGACTGGTTTTTTGTTTGGCGATAATATTTTTTCAGAAGCAACACAAAGTATTCAGACAATGCCAACACACAACTGTAGTGGATTCAAATAACTAAACGATACAACCTTCAGTTGTAAATTATGTGGTGGTATATAAGCTACATTGATAAACAATAATACTGGCCGAAAACTGTGTAAGGAATGAGAGAAGGCTTATTGTGTGAGAGACAGGAGACCGGCTTCTTTCTCATCCCTACTCCGTGCTATTTACTGAGTGAGAAGTGACACCGGTAGACACTTGGCTGGAAAAACTTATCTATGATCAGGGCTATAAAAAATAGGGGTTGGTGATAGAAGAGTAAAAATTGATAGTTATATGTATTATTTTACAGATATCCCTAGATCGTGGGCAACATTTCGTAAAAAAAATCTTGATTAGAAATATTTTTGTAACCGACCTATTCTAAATTGAAAAAATTATTTTTTACTTTGTTAATCTTATGAGGTAATATTTGGTCACCCAAAGCATTAATGTGGTACCTGACATTTCCAGGAAAAACACATTTTCTATTTTCATTCTGTCAAATGCACTAAAGTCTCTTAAATTTGTTTCTAATCGTCTAATTTATTTTTCCTGTCATTGAAACCAAGCAAGTCCTACGCGTTTGAATATGCTAAATAAATATCATAAATGAATATTTCAAATTGTGTGAATCTTTGTTCATGAGATTCTATTAATCTATAACCTGCATCAGAATAACCTACAAAAAAGTCCCAAGTGACTCAATAAGTCTCAAAAATGAAAAATTTGAAGAGTACAATTGACAAAAAGTCTAGCTAGAGATTCAAAAAGATATCATTTGACCCTTTCAATTGATAGTGACCAATTTTCTTTAACAAAATTAGACACTCTGATTCTCTTTTTGCTATAATGGAGTGTTTTTTTGTGATTCTTTTACTCAAACAACTCCATAATGATATATTTTTTTTAATTAGGTTCACCAGTTCTGTTTTTTTTATGCATTCCTTTTGATTCTACAACATTTCAATTATTGATACGATTCTATACATTGTCCATTAATATTGATAAAAATTGATTCAGGTAGCAAAGAAAATGAAGAAGAGGAAATCAAAGAAGAAAAACAGCAGAATATTGATGATATATGGGCCGATTTCATGAAAGATACAGGATTCAAATCCAAAACCTCCAAAGGTGGAATCTCAGAAAGTTCAAAAAATGAAAAAAAGTGTAGTGGTGTAGCTCATTCGTCATTAAAAGAAACACTTAAGAGGCCTCAAGAAAAAGTGAAAGTGACACAAATATTTGAATTTGCTGGCGAAGAAGTTAAAGTTGAAAAAGAAGTTTCAGCAGATTCTGCAGAAGCTCGTTTGCTTAGGAAACCTGATGATAACAGTCTACCGAAATCCAACAGGGGCAAACGAAATGGGGGATTGAGTGGTATTAGCAACGTCTTAAGTCAGCTCTCTAAAAAACCCAAAATAAGTACTTTAGAGAAAACCAAATTAGATTGGGATAATTTCAAAAAAGAAGAAAATATTGAAGAAGAGCTTCAAACTCACAATAGGGGCAAGGATGGGTGAGTATCATAAATAGTTTTGTTTAAAGGTGATTGACAATGTTTCATGATGAATTTCATTAGTTTGGACTTCCATTGTCGGATATTATATAAAATGATTTGAAACTGAAAGAACTATTAACAAAAGAAGAATTCAAAAGTGTAGTGATTACCCCTTTGACTTATTTATTTAATCAGTCTTTTTTGCAAGACTTTCCAAAGAATTCAAAAAAGGCATTAGTAATACCTCTTTTCAAAAAAGGTGATCGCTTGGTACTAGAAAATTATAGGCAAATCTCTTTGCTCTGCTCACTGTCTAAATTATTTGAAAAAATAGTTGCAAACAGGATTACGCATTATTTGACGGAAATACTGTGCAAAGATCTACATGGATTCAGAAAGAGTAAATCAGTTGAAACTGCAACATATCACTTACTGAATTATATCTATAAAGAAGTGGATTTGAACAATTTTGTAATGTCTTTATTTTTTTATCTAACAAAAGCGTTTGACACAGTGACTCCTGAATTTCTAATTGCAAAACTGACCCAACTTAGTTTCCCGAATAACTTGTTGCAATGGATTGAATCTTACCTCAAAGGGTGTACCATGACTGTAAAATGTAAAAATGTTAGATCAAGGTGCAACGACGTTAAGCTTGGAGTGCCACAGGGGTCAGTGCTTGGACCATTGCTTTTTTTGTTGTATGCAAATGATTTGTCAGAATATCTGAAAGATTGCCACCTTACCATGTTTGCGGATGATACCACTATCACAGTTACAGGAGGAAATATTGATGTACTGCTTAATAAGGTAAAAATGCATAATCAATGGTTTTAGCTCCTGGTGTCAGCGAAACAGATTAATATTAAACTCTTCACAAACTGTAATAGTAAATTTCTATAATAGAAAAAATAATGTTCCAGATGACCTACAAATTATTGACGAAATAAATATTAGTAGCGAAGTAAAATTTTTAGGAACTTACTTGGATGAAAGCTTATCATGGGATTTGCAAATAAGAGATGTCTGCAACAAACTAAACAAGACATTTTTTGCTTTAAGGCAAATGAAATCATGCATGGACACAGCAGGTCTACTAGAAATCTATTTTGCTATGGCATATTCACATATATCGCTCAATATCATAGCATGGGGTTGCAGTAATGAATTCATCAGAGTATTCGTGGCACAAAAGCGCATAGTTAGACTAATTTTCAGCATTGAACACCGAGACAGCTGTACACCAGTATTCGTTACTTGTGATATACTGTTTGGAACCTTTGGTGTAGTAATGAATATTACTACACCTCGACACGTGTTTCGATCACCAAGTGATCATCTTCAAGAGGAAAGCGTTCTACCGTCGATTATTTTTCACTTGTTAGATTGTTACGCACCTGACACGTTTAAACATTATGATTTTTTTGCGGATTAATATTAATAAAATTGATCTATTTTTGTTTTGGACAATAAAACCGAAATTAATTTGTATTTGGAACTACTTCATTGAAGCTAATAAGACTTGAAAAAGTGTAAACTTTTAAAGTCTATCCATGCCACTGAATTTGAACAATTGACAAAATTAGAAACTGAAAAGGAAAATACAGTACAGCTTTCGACTTTGGCGCCTATTCAAGAGGCAAAAAACAAATTACTTTTAAAGAAACTGCTGCAAAATAATAAATGGTGGAGTTCTAATGCTAAATCAATGGAAATTGACAGATTGATCTCCGAAATAATTGCTTTGCAAGATCTACCCTTCAATTTTGTGGATGGTATTGGATTTCGGCGACTTTGTAGTTCATTGTGCCGAATTATCACTTGAGAGGAAGACATTTTTTAGTGATGATATTTGTGGTCATTTATATGTAACATTAGCAAAAAAAATTAAGGATTTGCTCACACAAATTGAGATCTCATTCACAAAAGATATTTGGGCCAAACCAAGTACGGATGTTTAAAATCTGTTTAAAATCTGTTTTTCCGTTAACCAGCTCTCGCACCCCTACGAACGACAACCCTCAGAAGTCGAAACTTGTGCGAGCTAAGGATTAACGAGGTCTTATCTTTTAACATGTGATTCCTAACACGGATTGGACGATAGCAAGTGAAAATTGATCGTTCAAACTGGGGCTTGAACCACCGACCAACACGGCAGTCAATTCGAGTGAATGAACAAAGCACCCACATCGAACTGCCTGGCTACCGACCGATGTGTCTTTATTAATTCTGACAGCGAGATTTCATGAAGAAATTGAAGCCTTATAATTGAAAACTAAAAAAAATATCGACGCATTTTATCAATTTCCAAATAGCTGTAACTGAACTGCATAAAATACAAAAGGAACAATTCAACCAAGAGTGTTTCAATGTTATACAGGAGTGTAGTACGCGGCAAGTTGTAATAATTTGTGCATTTATTTTCACTTCGAGATTATTTCAAAAAAAGATATATTCACGCCAATACAATAAATTCTAATAACCACAAAATCGATTTTAATAAAACTCGTTGTGGTTGATTATAATTAATGTATTTAGTTTTTGACTTTTATTTAATTTATTTGTTATAAAAATGGAATCAGATATTTTTTTCCTTTCAAGGACAAAACACAAGCACTACAGAAAAATCCTTAAGGCACTCTAAAATCGGTGCCTGTGCAAAAGTAGAGATTCAACTTGGATTCGAATCGCTGGAGGTTGAATTCGTTTGGAAAAATTGGTCAAATTTACCTGTTTTATATCTGAGGGCAAGTGATTAAACATCTTGACCCCATTGTAATAAATAGAATTCCTGACCAAATTTGTTAAAGGAATTGTCAATTTCAACGCGGTGAAACGGGTGCTATAGGAATGGCATGAAGCCTCAAATAGGGACATATTTTTGTAAATGAGGCAAACCGATTCCAAAATGAACAAAGCAATCACTGTTGAAATCTTTTGCTCGGCGAATTTGTGTCTACATGAATAACGAGGTTTAATCTTACACATATACCTGATAGCCCGTTTCTGCAGTACTAATACAGACAGAAGTGCTGAATTGCATACCCCCCCAAAACGGTATTCCATAACGTAGGTGTGATTCAACAAGGGTGTAATACACCGTTCTGGCGGTTTTGATTCCCAAATTTATGGAAGTTACCTTCACTGCATAACATCCAGAACAAATTTTACTTTTAAGTTGTTTGATATGTTCAATAAATTTGAGCTTATTGTCAATGTGAAAACCTAGAAATTTAGAATAAGTCTCGTTCTTGATCACTAAGTTATCACAAAATGGCAGGTCTTCAAAAGCACATCTAAATGATGAAATGTTTGTTTTAGTGATAGCAAATTAGCATCACACCACTCCTTGATTTTTTCATATCAGTAGATATTGCATTGTCTAAATCATTCAAGTTTTTGTTATTCCACAATATCATCGTGTCATCAGCGAAAAGAGTGAAAGTTACAGAAATGCTCAAATTTGCAATTTCATTGACATATAATAACAATAAGATGGGGCCAACACAAAATTTCCTACTTGTTTCTAGGCGATCTACTTGTTTGATTTCAGCGTGGTACTGCTGCTAGATAAACGAAAAACATCTGGGAGACTAACCTATGTGAGTTATCTTGCATAAATGTCTGTCGAATATAATTCAATATCCAGCGTGGTATCAGCCGGAGAAGTAGTTGTTTTCCAGCAAGCATTTACCAGAATCTACTGTGTAGATAGTTGAGAAAGATGAATGTTTTGAGATTTTATTTTGGGAGTACTGTTTGGCGAGTGGTTGGTGGGTAATTGCAATGTGTTTGACTAGAGCGTGTGTAAAGGAGCCAATGGCATTGACGATAGGATGAATTGGGATATGATGTAGAATGTGTTGATGAGCTTTGGGTTGAATTATTATCACAATCGATCAGAATATTCCTTAATTTTTTCCTGAAAATTTTCAGGAAAAAGTTCTTCAGGCTCCTGAGAATTTCAATTAATTCCAGATTTCTCATTATTTATGGTGTTGTTAAGCCTGGCACAAGCCGGGATTGTTTCCCATAAGAGAACCCCATATACTACAAGACATGGCTTCCAGTGGTGTTCATCCAAATGAGCTCGTCGAGAAAATGTTCAAATGCTGTCAAAAAAACTAGTAAAAATTGCAGTTTGAGTAATATGTGGTAGTTTATTTCACAATAGTTGTATAGAAAGAAAAATATACTTCAGAATTGATGAAACACGAGTGAAATGTGACGATTGCCGTGAAATTAGTAGCGACAACACCATTTTGATATCGGATTTGGTAAATGTACTAGAAGAAAAAGTGAATTTTCTCAGAACAGAAAATATCTCATTAGGGAAAATAATTGAAGAAAAATGTAAGTTTATAATCGAAGCAAGAAACTTGCAAGAAGAAAACAAAAAATATCAATACAAAAACAATGTAACAGAAACCGTCAAACAATCTATTCCCAAGGATGTAAACAAACCGAGGTTAGCTGCAGAATGCCAAGGCACTACTCAAAGTCAAAGAGAAGAAGAAGAAAAATTTATAAAATGTCATATGGAACCTTCGAAAAACTTGAAATTCCTGCCTTTCAGTCAAGGAGACTGCTCCCTTGCTCATCAGTAACTTGAATGTAGAGAAAGACTTTGAATACTGTGGTTGTGAATACAAAAATGTGAATTTTTGTCACAGAATTATAACTATATATATAGATCGCCTACGGGGAACTTCCAAAACTTCTGTGTCAAACTCCAAAAGTTACTAGATAAAATATTTACGGTAAATGTTTGTTTGTGGATTACAGGAGATTTCAATATAGATTTCAAAACATTATCCGTGATAGAGAGGAAGTATTAGACATTTTTGCCCAATATGGACTTGATAGTATTGTAGAACAAGATACCCGAGTATCACTATCACTAGAATTGATAATATTTTCTCAAATATTGAGGCAGAGAGCCGTGTCAAGGACACTCCTCTCTCAGATCATAGATATATCACAGTAAAAGTGAATCATAAGTCATATGTTGACAGGAAAAACATAAAGTTAGGTAGAAATTATAGCAGAAAGAACAAACAAAAATTTTCCCAACTACTAAAAAAGGAAAACTGGGATGTACTATATAACCATGAAACTTGTAATGACAAAAAAATACAATAAATTTGAAAGCATTGTTCAAAATCACTTTTTTAATGCATTTCCAATACAAATTCAAAAATCAAATCCAGTTTTGAAGATTTGGGTAAATGAAGAAGTGAAACAGTCAAGTGCACAGCTTAAAGATCTATATATCCTTCAGAAAAATTATCCAATACTAGGCGGATACTATAAAGTCAGAAAACGTAATCACCAACAAATTGTGGAAAAATGTAAATGTAATCAATATGGTAACATAATTCAGAACTCCGAAAACAAAAGTAAAACTTCCTGGTTTATCATAATTGAACAGAAAGGTAAATCCAAGTCTTAGCCTAACATTAAGCTGATACATGAAAATGAAGAGATCACTTCACCTGTAACTGTGGCAAACACCTTTAATAATTTTTTCATTGATGCACCACAGAAAGTTATACATAATATACCAGATGTAGGAGGGAATGCTGCCTCTACTCAGAGAAATATAATGAATTCAATAGTGGTACTCTCACTTACATAATCAGAAATTAAAGATATTTTTACAAAACTTGAAAACAAGGCTTCTTCTGGCCCTGATGACCTGCCTAACAATATAATTAAAGAATTTGCCGAAGACTTAGTTGAAACATTTTGTTTAATCATTAACTTCTTGATAGAAACAGGAATTTTCCCAGAGTCCTTAAAAGTAGCGAAGGTGATCCCCTTAGAAAAAAAATAATTTACAAGAAAACTATGACCTTACATCAGTGTTTGCGAAACTATTTGAGTATTGTTTATTAGAGAGGTTGAACTCCTTCATTGTGAGATTTAATCTGATACCAGATGAACAACATGGATTCAGAAAGCTGTCCAATTGGAATATACTGCGATTTGAGCAAAGCGTTTGATTGTGTTCCACATGATCGATTGTTAGAAAAGCTTTGGATTTACGGGACCAGAGGAAATACACATCAATGGTTTCGGTCTTATCTTGATGGTAGAAAACAATATGTACAGATATCTCACATTAAGGATGATGGACAAAACAGCATACACTGCTGAGATTTGATATCGATAAGTGTAGGGGTACCGCAGAGAAGTGTCCTTGCACCTATATTGTTCTCTTTATATATAGCAGATATTGCTAAATACAAATAATACAAACTAACCCTCTATACAGATGATCTGTCGATCCTAGAAGCCATCCAACAAAACTGTAACGATTTAATGACAAAAATTATAGTTTGGTTCTCAACAAACATATGTCAATTCAATGCGAAAACATAAAATTTTTAGGTATAATTATGAGTGACACATTAGATTGGGAATTCCATATCAGAGAAACATAGTCCAAACTAAACGGCAAAATATACCAACTGAAATGCCGTACTAAAAATTTTTTATTATGCTGAAATTCAGTCACGACTAACATATGGTTTCTTATTATGGGGTTCGTCATCAGCTGCTCAGAAATTATTTGTACCGTAGAAAAAATGCCTTAGAACTTTATGGAATAAAAGTCAGAGAGAATCATGCAGACCATTATTTGCCAATATGAAAATACTTCTTCTCTCTTGCTTGTATATTCTAGAAATATTTTGCTACATTTCCAAAAATAAAAAAAGAATTAGCACTCATAGCAATGATCACAGTTATTCAACTAGATGAAACCACCATCTAAAAACACCTCGAAATAATTTGAATGTAACTCTCAGGGGACCTATCTCC